AGCAGTGATAAATATACTATATATCTGTTTCTTAGCTGTGGGTCTCTGGATCTTAATGGCTTATGAACCTGAGTATCTGCAGTTTCTCTTGGGTAAACGATTGAGGGCCTTAGAAGAGATTATGCAGGACAAAACCAAATGCCTCACAACTATTCCATGCTTGTCAATCTCTCTGTTTACTTGGCTTATCAAAGACACTACAATAAGCCACTTTGCTTTCAAGTATTCATCTCTCAGTCCACTGGGTCTTAGGAAAGAAGACTTTCCTACTCTGGGGTCTCTAGGAGAAAGGCATAAACTGGGTACCAGAACTGGGATTAATGAAAAGCCCAAGTCCCAGGGGAACCTGGGAGATGTGATACCTGACTCTGCTTCAACTTTGGAAAGGCCCATCTTAGGCTCACATTATGAAAGGCAGACAAAACTGGGTCTGTTGGTTGCCTAAATGCTGGTGAGACAGGAGGGAAAGGGGCAGGGCACAGCCATTCAAGGGAAAGGAATGACACAGCAATTAACACTAAAATGGTGGAAGATTCAACTCCCACTAGGCACTGAGGATCAAGATGGCGGGAGATTTGACTTCCAGTAGACCTTGAGGTTCATTAGACGCTCACTGTAACATATTAGCATGATAAATAACATGCCCAAAGGCACCATGACAGTTCTAAGGCTAATCATAAAAGGCCAAAGAGCAGGTGGTGGCCCAGTTCCTGGGAATCCCAGCACCTTCCCCAGGGTAGTTGGAATGATCCTCCCACTTATTGGCATAGGAAGCTTCCGAGCCCATAAAAACTAGCAACACCATGCGTCATGGCCTCTCTCACTCCCTAGTCTCGGAGATAGCCCACACTCTGTCTGTGGAGTGTGTACCTACTTTTACTTTAACTTGAGCACCCAACCTCCAAACCTCGAGGCCTTTCTCTCTCCTGAAACAGCCTGAACTCTATGAAATACATAGCTCTTTAAGTAAATCTACCTTTACTCAACTGTGGCTTGCTCTTGAATTCTTTCCTGTGCGAAGCCAAGGACTCACACTTGGCGGGGCGAGTCCCAGGGACTTAAGCGAGACCTGGGATATGGCCCTCCTCTCACCGTACATTTGTTGTTCCTGTCTCATTGGGGGAGAGAGAGGGGAGATGCACGAATTACTGTAAAAGGGGCCTTCCTTCTCATCTTCCACAAGGAGAAGGTTCTCTGTTTTTCCTATGTAATACACAGTGATGCCTTGGAGTCTGATGTGCAAAATCAGTGGGACTGGCGTGTAGTACAGATTCTGCTATATTCCATGTACCTGACATATGAGAGGCACACAATGAGTACTTGTTGAAGGAACCAGTGAATGAATGAGTCACAGATCCCAGAACATTCAAATTGGAAGGGAACTCAGAGAGAGATCCTTTGGCTCCAAGGGTGCAGAGACCCTAGAGTGTGAGTGGCTTGCCTAATGAAGCTGCACCCTTAAACATGGTTGGGTTCCACAATGTTATAGCCCTTTCTACAAAGATGGGTCAGGAGGCAAGAGCTTCTCTTCATTCGCTGAGCAGAGCAGGACCATGTCCTGATGCAATGGCTTTGTTCCTGTGGAAATCCCAGACTGCCTATGCAGGGAAACAAAATTTGCCGCCACAAAATGTCTCTTTGGCATGCAGGTTATTTTGAGCTGAAAACAATCCATGCTCAAAAGACTCAGAAGAACCTTTGACCCTCCCACTAACTGCCTAAAAGAATGTAGATAGAGGACCTGTTCCAGGAAGGAAGCTATCACCATAGATAACTATAGTATGAACTCGGTGTAGTAAACAGGGAGGAACCTAGGAAAGTCTGTTAAATTTCCTCTCTGTGTCTCACAGTCCCTCCAAGACCCAGGAAATGTTTATCAAACTTCAGCTTTTCCATCTCATGTGAATTGCCCTCCTCCCCTCTGAAGTCCTAAATCACCATCTACAACATCCTCTTTTGTTTTTAGTTGAAGATGGTATTCAAGGTGAGGTCTTGAGCCATTGTGGCAAATTACTCAGTTTTCCTGGGTCTCTCCCATGTATACCTGTTATTACCCTTTTGTTTGATTTTTCTCATATTAATCTGTCTCATCTCAATTTAATTTGGACCAGCCAGAAGATCCTGAAGCAGCAGAGGAAAACTTCTTCCTCCTTGACACCTACTACTATCTATGTGAGTGGGTTGATGAGCCCCCTTTTCTAATGAGATCCCCAGACATGATGGTGTTTGGATCTTGCTACTGCTGCCTTGGGGACCATCACTATGACTCTGGGGAGAGGGACCCCAGAGTCCGGGGCACAGAAGAATGGTCCTCTGTGACAGACAGCAATCTACACTTAAAGAACAGGGCTATGGGGAGGCACAGGAGAGCCTGGTGTTGTTTTCTGTCTGTTACTCCCAGATCTGACCAATCAGAGAGAGAAATTAATTAACAGACCCTGGTAGGCTCTAAGTTTTTCTTCCAGTCCTCCCCTTCAGAAGATTCTCTGGGTGCTGTTTCGGCCATGTACAGCGGGAGTCCTGGCAATCATGATTCTACACTCTCAAGCCTCACTCTCCTAAAGACTGAGTAAGCCTCAGCCCCACCTAGATATGCCCTTGTGACCCTTGCCTTATGGCATGCCACCTTCTCATTTTCTTTCCTTTCCTGGGAATACTGTCAAGTGGAAAAATGAATGCACTTAGGGAATAAAAAGCCCTACAAATACTGAAAAAATCACTTGGAAAGTGTTATCTGGGCACTAGCCTTAGAAAAGTCTAGGCAGAACTTTCAAAGGGCTGAATTGGTCAATTTAGCCCAAAATATAGCCTGCAAGGTGTCACACTGAATGAGCCAGGGGAACCAGGAACATCCAGTCCCACCCCTATCACCCTCTATCACACTCCTGGTCTGCGGGGCCTAGGGGAAAGAAATGGAACATTTGACTGGTTGAATGAACCTAAGTTTCCCCCTTTATACTAGAAAAAGTATATTCCCTGAACATAAAAGTCTCTACCATTTTCTTTTTTCTTCTTGCCCCAGACAGCAATCAAAGGCCAGGAAGGTAGAGGGTCAGTGAATGGCTGGCTGGCTGAACTATCAGGGTTCATGAGTGTAAGAGTTCGTGTAGGAGTTCAAGTAGGAGGTCCAGGACACGGGCATGCCTGCAGACTTGCTGAGCTGGGAATGGCTTTTCCATTCCAACCTCCATCAGATCCTTCTCCTGGTCTTTGGGATTCTCTCTCCTGTTTGAATATTGTGTTCCCCTTCCCGCTAACTCCTTCTCATATCTCCAAAAGACAAAAAAGCATCCTCTAACTTGCAAGCTGCTACACAAGTCCTAGTTGGATGGAAAATAACTCCTTCTAACCCTGAAGTGAGGCTTGGGGGAGGAGAAGTGAAGATAAAACAATGACCTACAAAAGTCATATTTTGAGGTCTATGTTCCTCTTTATCAACAGTTACCATTTATTGATGGCACACTCTGTACCAGGCCTTCTGCTAAATGCCTTACCAGCATCCTCCCATGTAATCCTTGCATCAGTCCTCTGAGGTAGGTATCAGTACCATTTTCATCTTACAGGTGGAGAAACTGAAGCCTAAAGAGATGAGGAAATGTTTCTAAGGTCACATGTGAAGTAAGTGGAGCTGGGGTTTGGCCAGGAAGGGATAGATTCCAGACCACTCCTACCCTCATCCCCACATATTTCAGAATCTAGAGTTGGAGAGGAGGTGGAAAGTGAGGACTGGACTTGCTGATCAATAGATATTGAAGAAGTTAATGACAAGAGCCACCCATGAACATGAGAGAGAGAATAGGAGAGAGAGCAGAGAATGAATGAACAGATGAAGGAGTGTTTGGGTAGGTCTAACACACAAGGAGAATCCAGGGTTAAAGTGAGGATAGGGAGGACAGATGAAGGGAGGGGAGCAGAAATGTAATTTACTATCTGCCTGTTATGTATCAAGAACTGTGCTTGGCTATTTACATACAGTAATTCATATAATCTCCATAGTAATACTATGAGTAGATATTATTCTACTTTATAGATGAACCAATGGAGACAAATGAAGAGGGGGGGGGACGGGGAAGTCCAGCATCCCTCCACTTACACTGGCGTTAAAGCCAGAGATTTCCATAAACCTTAATATTTTGTTTTAATCACTGTTTTATTATAGTTACTGGTACTTCAAACCCTTAAGTTTCAGACTCTTTACTGTGTTTACAGATGAGAAAACAGAAGCGGAAACTACCTTCCACACAGAAGGAAGGAGATTCAGGTATTAAAACAAGTAGTATTTGGGGAACACAGGAAGGAAGCAGGGCTGTAAGGAGCTGGCTCTGGATCACAGAATGTCCTGGGTCCATATATTAGAATCTCCCCAAGTGAAAAAAAAAAAGTGGTATCCCTTTCACCACTTTATTCCGGATATTAGCCATTTTTAATCTAACTTGAACCATGAAAGGGAGTAGTGTTATATACCTTGATTTACCAAGTGCTTCTTACCAGAGCTGGAGCTGGCTGTTCAGAAGTGTGCCTTAAATAGTTTCCCTGGCTTGAACCCTCTCTTTATGCATGTCCCTTTGCACTGGGTCTCTAAAATGTGATGGGCCATTGCGGGTCTAAACCACGTTAGTCTGGGTGGAGCTCCAGGGCTGCACATAGTCAGAACAGTGCCTTCTCTGGTCTACCTATCAATCTACTTTTCTAGTGTACCTGTCTATCTCTGTCTACTTCTAGCCAAGCTTGGTAGGTGTTTCCACTACTCCCTCTACATATTTACTCTCTTCCCCACAAGCCCAACCCCTACTACATCTGCCGCCAATGCCGGCACCTAAGAACCTTAAGAGGTCTTGGAGAACTTGGCCAGGGTTTGAATGCTGAGAGCTTCTGAACCCAGAGCTACACTCACTTCGAGTTTCTGCGCATGGTTGATGATGACCCTGGTCCAGCCTACTGTTTCCAGCCTGGATGTTCAACCTTCTCACTTCATTGCTTTCAGACCCAGATTCTTCTCAATGCCAAGACCCAATTTCACAGCTGTGGCAGAATTTATCTTTGAAGGCTTTTCCATTTTTGGGTGGCAGCACAGACTCATCCTCTTTGTGGTCTTTTTGGTCTTGTACCTGTTGACTCTTGCCAGCAATGTTATCATCTTGACAGTTATCCACTTCAACCAACAACTTCACACACCGATGTACTTCTTCCTGAGTGTGCTGTCCATTTCTGAGACCTGTTACACAGTGGCCATCATTCCCCAGATGCTGTCCAGTCTCCTCAGTCCCCAACAAGCCATCTCCATTCCAGACTGTGCCACTCAACTCTTCTTCTATCTCACTTTTGGTGTCAACAACTGCTTTTTGCTGACAGCCATGGGGTATGACCGCTATGTGGCCATCTGTAACCCCCTACGGTATTCAGTCATCATGGGCAAAAAGACTTGTATACAGTTGGCAAGTGGATCCTGGATCATTGGCCTGAGCACAGCCATCATTCAAGTGTCTTCTGTGTTCAGCCTGCCCTTCTGTGATGCCAATATCATCTCCCACTTCTTTTGTGACATTAGGCCCCTAATGAAGCTTGCCTGTGCTGATACAACCATCAAAGAATTTATCACTTTGCTCATTAGTCTGGGCGTCCTTGTTCTGCCCATGGTCTTAATCTTTATCTCCTATGTCCTGATTGTCACCACCATCCTCAAGATTGCATCTGCTGAGGGTCGGAAAAAGGCCTTTGCCACCTGTGCCTCACATCTCACAGTGGTCGTTGTCCACTATGGCTGTACCTCCTTCATCTACCTAAAACCCAAATCACAAAATTCCCTGCAGGACAGACTTATCTCTGTAACCTACACTGTCATTACCCCACTCCTAAACCCTGTTGTATACAGCCTGAGGAACAAAGAGGTCAAGGATGCCTTGCTCAGAGCTTTGGGCAAGAAGTCCCTCTCTTAGGTGCTCATCAGTCTTAATAACAATAAAATTTTGAGTTTGATGAGTTGTCAGAGTGAGGGAGCCAGTGAGATAAGAGATAGTATAAAGGCTCCAGGTACCTGATCTGGGAAGCACCCAGGAGTCAGAGAGATAGAGTGAAACAGGAAGGAAAAGATTAATGGAAGAAGAGATGGGTGGATTTTCCAAGATTGCTAGATGGGTTTACGAAGCTCAATGAAAATCAAATAAGATAAAGCATATTCAGGTGCTGTACTACAATGTTAGATATTGCTGTTACCCTTGGCATAAAGTACTGTAAACCAGCAGTGTGGGTGGGCAGAAAATATGGTATCATATCATAGGAATTTATGTAATCTGAACCTGGCCTCAGCACAAAAATCAGGGCCAATAAAAATAACAAGTTCTCCTTTATTTACATATAACACTTCTGATGCTACATTTTATGCTATAATTTTTTAAAAATCACTCCATTAATGATTTACTCTGTGCCTATCACTAAATGTATAAACCCTAGACAGCTATGCCAGACACAGGTTCTGAAAATCAATTTACAGACTGACTGAGAATTTTGAATGACTTGAGCAAAAACCATAAAAATGGCTTCCTGTGTATTTGAGACTTGCAGAAGAAGAGGCCCATCTTCGTATCCCATCCCCTCTCCCCAGAGAGCATGGGTACTATAATGAAATCTGTTGTTGCTCTGTCCAGAATCCTTTATGGGGCTGGCACACCCAAATCCAGCCAATATGAATGTTGCAGTGCCATCTTCTCAGAGCTGCCCTCTTCTCTGAAAAATTCCCATTGGCTGAAAGGGAACTTTCTTAGATGTGATTCATACCCTACCCCCATCCTTCACAAGGGGAAGTCCACAGCCAAGGCCTGTGTGAAACAGAAGTTACAAAGGGCCACCCAGGTTCCTTCAAGATGCGACCAACCTCCGAGTGCACCTGGAGTCCTCCATTAGATCAGGCTGAAGTTAGATTCCAACCGAGACCACAGCCTTGCTTAGCTCTTCCCCCATCCCATCCTGCTTCTGTCACTCCACTTTCTCGGAGAATATTGCCTCGGTCAATCCCTGCACCTGGGTCCTTATTGCAGGCTTTGCTTCAAGGGAACCTGACGTAAGCCAGGTGATACCCATACCACTCACTTGGCTCCACTCTTTGAGTGTCCTCTCTGCATCTGTTGTACCTAGAACAATGTCTGGTACATAGTAGCTGCTCAATAATTATTTATTAAAAGAAAGAAGAGAGGAGGAAGGAATAAAGGAAGAAAGACAACTGTGGACAGCTAAAATACAATTAGCATCAGCAGACAGTTCTTCTCCTTCTTTTCTTTTTGTTATTGTTTACATTCAGGTTGTTTGCCCCCCTCCCCTTCGTGATGTCCTTTTTTGGTACATTTATTGAATACCTCCTGGACTGCAGGCATTAATTTAAGCACTTTACTGATTTAATTCTTACTGTAAGTCTACGAGGTAAGTATTTTATTAAACTTATTTTACAGATAATAAACCTGAGACCTGAAAAGATGAATTCCTCAAGGTCATACAGGTAGTATGTGGCAGAATCAGGATTTAAGAACAGGCAACTCACCCCAGAGTCTGCTGCTGCATTATAAGCTCATGATGATTATTTTAACTAGCTTTCTCCTTTATAATACAGACATTGTGGATTTACACATATCTCAAATCCTATTTGAATGTCTAGAACTGGACATCTGTCTGGAAGTTCAGGATTTATGTATTATAATATGCATAATTTCCCTGAATATCTTGGTGCATCCTTTCTCCGCTCAGCACAGCTTCAAAGATGAAAGAAAAAAAGGAAATCTGAAGGGGCCAAAGGCCAAGGGAGAATGACAGGACTCAGGACCATTAGATTACTAACCTCTATACCTATCTTTCTTCCTGTGTTTTTTGTGTTCCTGACTCTCTTCCAAGCACTGATGGCCTGAAGTAGCAGATGCTTAAGCAGTGTGATATTGTAAACGGAGCACAGGCTTTGGGGCCAGACATGGGTCTAATCCTAGGTCCACCATTATAAGCAAAGGACAGTCACTTCATCTCCCTGGCCTTTGTCTCCTATCTGCACAGTGGGGCTGATAGTAGCACTCTCCCCAGGTCATTGTGAGGAGTCAAAACTGTTACGGACATAATGTCTCCTGGCGCACAGGAAGCAGTGATAGTTATTAGCTCCTCCTCCTCCACCCCCGTCCCCCTCAGAGGTGACAGTTTTTAACAACAGAGTTCTCAATCATAGAATGAGTTCCCTCCTCCCAGGAGGTTCTGACTTTGTAAATAGGCTTCCCCTACAGTCTTTGATCCCATGTTCCAGTAAAAGGAACCTAACCATTCTTCAGGGTCTTCCAAAAATTGCTTCCTGGATACATGCTCCCATGTGTTAATAAACCACTCTGCTGCCTCTCTGCATTCCTACCCCAGAGTCCCTTCCCCCAGGCCCCACCCACTTATTGGTCTACCAACTATTAATAGCACATTCCCGCTTCTCTCCTGGTTGCCTCTAGAAACACTGCAAGGAGCCCCAGGATTCATGTGTGTATCAGTCTTCATATGCAGGGTGTATAAATACTTACAGAAACATAATGCAACTATTTGAATGTACCATAATCCATCTGAAAGCACCAATTACTAAATTGATAGTTCTCTTTTCCGGAATTTATTTTTTTTCTACCAATAGGTACAAATAGTACTATTATTATCCAACTATCACCAAGCTGGAGATCTATGACATATTTTGAAATAAAAAAGGATTTCTCACATCCAAAAAACTGGGGACCTCAGCTTAGGTGACAGGGATAGGATGGATGACAGTATGAGAGTAGATATAACCTGGGTGCTATGGATTGAACTGTGATCCCCCATCCCATAATTCACATGTTGAAGCCCTAAACTCCAATGTTATGGTATTTGGAGATGAAGCCTGTAGGAAGTAATTAGGTTTAGAAGTCGTCATGAGGGTAGACTCCTCATCATGGGATTAGGGTCCTTTAAGAAGAGCCCATAGAGAGCTCTCTCACTCTCTCAGTAATCAAATCTAGCACCTTGATCTTGGATTCCCAGCCACCGAACTGAGAAACAAATGTCTATCATTTGAGCCATATGGTCTATGATATTTTGTTACAGCAGCCCAAGCTGACTAAGACATTGAGGAATAACATTGACTGCATTTAGTTCAGTCATCAGCCCTATTCATGGCTCTGAAAGATTCCCACTGACAATCCTAAAGCACCATTAGGAGGTCTAGACCTGGGATCCTAAACTAATGTGAACTCCACGAGTGAACACAGTAAGAACTACTTGAATATGGTCCCCAAATAAAGCAGTTTATAGCAAGTTCTCTTGGCTCTTTTGCCAGCTTTGTTTCTATAGTCACCCCACATGTTGATTTCTGTTTAGCACCAAATGCCACTAGATTTACTGTTGATGGAGTGATAAATTCCTTATCTTTCATTTACAAAATGGAAATAGTACCACTGACTTCATAGGGTCATTTGGAGGACTAAGTGAGACAAAAACTTGTGAAAGTGTTCAATAAATATTAGTTGCCTCTGGCACTGATTACATCTTCTGCCCCCAAGCACCACATTTTTATATCATCTACCCACTGCCCCATTTTCAGAATCTTCCTAATTCGTCCCAAAGCAATGGCATCACAAAGTACTGAGCGATTTGCCCAACTTTACTCCTTTCCTATTGAGAACCCATAGCTACCAATTGTATCTAAGAATGGAACATTAGTATAAAGATCATTTGTTTGATTTATCTATTACAATAGGAAGCTATGCGTATTTGTGAATAATCAAGGAGTAGGCGTGAATGAACCTGATGGGAGTAGTTTATGCAATGACTGGTTCTCTCCTCTCCCTTGACCAGTTACAAGCCCTGTTAGTTCACCTCATATGTATCACATCTGTCCCTCTTCTAGGGGCCACGGTCAGTCCCTCTAGATCAATCCCAAATATCTCTGGCCTGATCTGTTGTGTCAGCAATCACCTTGCCTCTTCTCACCAACCTCAAATCCATCTTCATCCTGCAGCCAGATCAATCTACCAAATCCCAGTGCTGAGTTCTTTTTTATCATCATGGAAGCAAAATCCCCAACTAAACATGAAGAGGGTGCAGAGTAGCTAGTGGTAAAGCCTGCCAGTCCTTAAGAGGCTAGTTGCTACAGGACTTTGCAGTCCATGAACAGGAGGGGTAAGTGAAGTCACTTGAGAGGCCTTTAAAAGTGATCAGTCTAAGTACTCTGAAATCTTTTGTAGCCTGATCTTACTTTACCTACAGAATGTTTCTGTAATCAAACTGAGTCTAATCAAGAACAGTCTCGCCTTTCTGTCCTACTTACATATGGTATTTATTTTAATAAACCGTCTATCACTTTCAACTAACTGGTGAACTCCTCAAAGGTCGATGAAACATCTCATTTCTGCAGGCCCAGCAACCAGCACAGGGCCCGGCATGCACTTAGTGTTTGAAGAATAAATAGGCACAGGTAAGCACCACATGTTAAAAGTAAGAAAATGCAATGAAAGCAATAAATTAACTCATGGAAATTCTTCATCAGTAAGTAAATTCGGAGTTGGGTCTTGATAGACTGGTAGAAGTCTGTCACATGGAGAAGGGGAGATAATTTTGAGTAAAGAAAACAGCGTTCAGAGGCTCATCTCTGTTTCCTAACCCCCCAAGAGAGGATCCTTGGATCTAAAGACAATGTACTTCCAATTCTGAATATCACAGAGGCAGAAAGGCAGGCAGCATGAACTGCCCTCTGCAGACCTACAGCCATATTCAACTAGTTTAATTCCAAAGAGAAAGCAAGATTTTTAAACTGAGCAGAGATCCTGCCCATAAGAAAAAGGGCCTCACTTCCTGAGATCCAGGATGATATGGCTCTAAGCTTGAGCTCCTTAGATTTGTAATCTGTTTCCAAGGCACACATGTAAGAAGACACAATATGTGTATTCATTATTTTATTATTAAACACCACTCTCTAACCAAATGAGCTAACCAGCCAGCTATAATGTGCTTATTCAAACAAGCAATACTGAACTAAACAAACCAGCTTCCTCTAATGCTGTTTCTACTTGAAGCACAAACTGCCCTCAGACTCCCAAAAGGCCCACCCACTGTGGGACTGGGTAAATCAGCCCACACGTTAACGAGCTTCCCAGG